GACACATATAGAAAGATAAATTTAAGGCTCAAACAGAGGTTTCCATGATCAAAAAATAAATAACCTGAAAATAAAAGAGAACAAAATACCAAAAGTGGTAGAGGAAAACTGGTAAAGAAAACCAAGAATTAGAAGCCAAATTTGCTAATTAGGAAGGCTTTTGACTAGAAGTAGCAGAAAACCCAGCTAGCAGTGATTTAAACCAAGTGGACAGCTATGAATTGCTTAGGAGATATCCAGTGGTGGGCAGTCCCAAAATTAGCTTGGCAGTTCACTGATTTCATTAAGGATCTCGCCCTTTTGATCTTGCATTCTGTCCCCTTCAGCGTATTTGCAGTACTGCTCCTCAGGACCACAAGATGGCTGCCACAGCTCTAAGATCCACCTTCACACTCAATAGTATTCACCCCAAGAAGGAAGAGAGAGAGGAATCATGGCCGAGGATATGTTTCTTCTTTCTTCTTCTTCTTCTTCTTCTTCTTCTTCTTCTTCTTCTTCTTCTTCTTCTTCTTCTTCTTCTTCTTCTTCTTTCTTCTTCCTCTTCCCCTTCTTCTTCTTTTTCTTTTCTTTTCTTTTTTCTTTCTTTTTCTTTTCTCTCCTTCTCCTTCTCCTTCTCCTTCTCCTTCTCCTTCTCCTTCTCCTTCTTCCAGAGAAGAAACACTTTCCTAAAAGCCCCCAGCTGATTTATCCCACTATTTCTTTGGCCAGAAGCAAATTACAAAAGCAAGAGAGTTACCCTAATCCAGAATCGTGGCCGGAAATAGGGATGTCGGAACCAAATTGTGATGTTAGCAAAGAAGTCAGGAATGGCAGCAGGTGCGTAGCCAAAAAACCCAGCCATTTACAAAAACAAGTGAAGGGCTGGATTTGGCCCTCAAGCCATAGTTTACAACCCCTGAGTCACCTGTGGGTCTTTTAAACTAAGACTCCAAATGCTTTGAGCCACAAAAGAAATGATTAATACATTCAACTACAAATTTAAAACTTCTGCACAGCAAAAACAACACCTTAAGCAATGTCAAAAGAAGAATGACAAACCACACATAAATAGTTGCAACTTTTTTCACAAAGGGATAAAATCCCTAATACATAACACTTTCTATAACTCCCCTTCGCTGTCTTTTTTCTCCTCCTCCATCATTCTCATCAGCAAGGCCAAAATGCTCCTTTCCCCCTACCTTAAACGACCTTTCTCTTCACTCTATTTCTTTCCCCAGTTACATTGTTTTTTTCTACTCCTGTTTGCTGTGGATTCCTGCGAAGATTTGTCCCCAGAATCTTTTCTCTCTTTCTCCTTTAAACCCTGCCAGTCCCGAGGGCTCCTGTCAGACCCCCATGTTGCTCAGGACAGTGGTCCATTTCAATCTGTGTCTTACTTTACTTTTCAGCAGCAGTGAATGCAGACAGACACTCCCTTCCTCTTCCTTGAAGAAAACCATTGCACTTGGCTTCAAGGATACAAAACATCCAGCTCTTTCTGTTTTCCTCTACCTGTCTTGTGCCTCCATCTCAGCTACTTTGTTCATCCCTTCCCATCTCTGAATTTTTCAGTGTTGGCTCACTATGGGACTGAACTGGGGCTTTTCTTGTTTCTTTCTTCACTCAATCCCTTAATGATCTTATCTATTGTCACAGCTCTAAATGTCACCTAAAGGCACACAACTGAATTTATGACTCAAGGCTAGATCGCTCTCCTTAACTCCAGATTCATACAGACAACAACCGACACCTCCCCTTGAGGTCTAGTAGACAACAAAAATCTTTAGGCATCTTTAGCTGAATGCCCATTGCCAACCCCAAACCTACTCCACCTGCAGCAATCTGCATTACAGTTGGAGGAAACCCCATCCTTTCAGTTGCTCAAGCCAAATATCTGGAATCATTCTTATCTTGATCCCTTTTCCCTTCCTCCCAGGCACATACCTGCCCTAGGGTCTCTACATCAGGTTTTCTTTTGCCTCTGATGCTCTGCCCCAGTTTTGTTTTGTCTTCTTTTGCCATGGCTTATTCCCTAATTTGCTCAATGTCATCTTTTCAAATAGAGCTGGTCTGACAACCTGTGGCATTATAAATACATTTGGTCTCTGTTCCCAGTTCCTGGTCCAGAGTTCCTGAAACCCTTGTAATTTTTTGAGTGGTGAGAGTGGTAGGAGTATCTTTTATTCTAATATTTGGTCTTTAACCTTGGCTCCTGACAAAAGAACTTCTAAGACCCTTGGAATGTCTGAAGTGAGAATAGTGTCTTTCTGTTTGCTGACATGATGAATGGTGGCTAGGGGACCCTAGATAGTTTCAGTATGAGGGCTGGTGACCAGAAAGCCAAGGCATGATTGGGACTTGGAACTTTCAGCTCCACTCTCCTATCCTCCAAGAAAATGAGAGGAGCTTGAGATTGAGTTGATCATCTTTTAAGGTCTAAAAGGGAAGATATCCAAGATATGATATCAAATAATAAAACCATGGATGCCTGGGTGGCTCAGTGGTTGAGCTTCTGACTTTGGCTCAGGGCGTGGTCTTGGGAGTCCCAGGATCTAGTTCCACATCAGCCTCCACTGGAGGAGCCTGCTTCTCCCTCTACCTGTGTCTCTGCCTCTCTCTCTGTGTCTCTCATGAATAAATTTTTAAAAAGAATTAAATAAATAAATAAATAAATAAATAAATAAATAAATAAATAAATAAACCAAGATGCTGAACAGTGTGTATGTTCCTTTTGTTTATTAAAAAAGGAAAAACATAAGAACATATGTTAATTTTTGCTTTTATCTGCATAAAGAAAGCTAGGAAAGATGCACAAGAAATTAATTAAAATGATTATCTGGGTGAGAGACAGGAAATGACACAATGTTGGCACCAAAGGGATATGAATAAACTTTTGGTGGTAGTGTATATATGTTTACTACCTTGACCATGGTGATGCCGTCATTGAGTATATATGTAAGAACATAACCAATGGAATGTTTTAAACATTTGTAGATTAGTATAACTCAATTGTATCTCAATAAAGCTGCTAAGGGTACATATGCATATAAATAAATAAATGAACTTGATTTTGAAACAAAGTAAGTGGGTTCAGCAGCTAGGAGATGCTCTGTTGAGAGACTTGTTTTACTTTTGACGATTTTGGTTTTGCTTTGTTTCTTTATGGAATAAACTCGAGCAAGTTTATAAGCTATAAGTATATATATATATATAGAAAACTATAGAAAAGAGAGGATGCAATGAATGGAGTGAAGTCTTGAGAGAAGAGTTGGAATACTCCGAGCCCCAGGCCAGGGGATGCTGTTGGCACTGGAAGGAAGGGATATGGATGGGAGGATACATGTCGGGCCCTCGCGCGCTATGTGTTAGCCTCTAAATGCTGATCCTGAGAATCAGCTCTTCCTTTTGGATACCAGTGGCGTGATTGTAAGCTAAACCAATCAAATGTCCCCAGTCCCCCCCCCTCCCCCAGAATGGTGCATCTCCTTACAAGTAATTTCTCTCAAATTCAATGACTTCTTCTAAGGTGTAACTTGAAGGGCATCTGTGATACACTCTAAAAATAAGATTATTTATTGACAAGTGCACTGAGCTTTTCCTCTTATCAAGAAAGAGCTCGAAGTGAAACGGTGCTTTGTTCTAACTTTACCAGACCAAGTTCCCTGGAGCTACTCTGAGAGACCTGGAATATGTGTCCCTGTCATATTTTTGTGCAATATGGTAAGAGAAGCATTCACCTAAGTGAAAGGGATGTGGTCTTCAAAATGTCTCACGTGCGTACACACACACACACACACACACACACACACACAGAGAGAGAGAGAGAGAGAGAGGGAGGGAGGGAGAGGGAGAATGGGAGAGAACACCCGAGTGCAGAGCTAGCCACACAGTAATTGATATTTAATTCAGTGCGGTGGAAACAGCACAGAAGCGCTCAGTTTAACAGAATCACTTGTGATTTTAACATTAAAATAGCTTGTACCTTAACACTTTAATCTCCTGACCTGCCTTTTTTTTTTTTTTTTTTAGAGAGAGAGTTGAAGTTCTAGGAATATTCAGGTAACTTTTAAGATACAAAATCCTGTTCCTGTAAAAAAAAAATGGTTTATTGAATCTTTCATATTCATGCCAATTAATGATTTTTTTTTCTTTTACCTGTTTCATTTCAGTCAGAACCCACATTCTCAATCAACGTTAATGAACAGATCTGTAACTATCCCAGGGCTAACAAATAAAGGAGAAATTCCGGTTCTTTGAACTACCCGGTAGCTTTGGCTGCGCCTTCCCCTGGATGGCGCGTTAACGGGTCTGCAGGCCGTCGAAGCGCCGCTCCTTCCCGGCAGCGCGGGCAGGTGGGGTTACCGCGTCCCGTTTCTGAAGACTTTGCAGGCGCCACCCTTCAGCCTGATGGAGCCGGAGTCCCCGCGTTGGGGCGAGTACTTGGGGTGGGCTGATCCGCTCGCAAAAGAAACCGGGGGCAGGGCCCGAAGCCACAGGATCCCATTCTAAGACCCCGAGGGGAGGAGGGGGCCGCTCGACCGGGGACAGGCGCCCCGCGCCAGGTTCCGCGCAGGGAGATCCGTGCACGGGGTTGTCCCCGCTCCGGGCTGGTGCCCCGCGTCGCTGCGGCGGGCGTCCCGGGGATGCTCCACCGGTGGAGGAGGCGCGTCCCCCCACCCTAGCGCCCAGCCGGTTGGTGGTCCCGGTGACGGGCGACACACAGGGTCTGGGCTGCTCCCATCTCCAGCAGGACTGGACGGGGGGTGACGAGCGCCCGCGCTCACCTGCCCGGGGCCCCCTGCAGGGCCGGGGTGGAGGCGCTGGGGGCGGGGGGCGGCTCCAGGAGCGCGGCTCGCGCGACTGCGGCTTCGGCCCCCCTCCCCGCCGCCCCCGCCAGTCGGGGCGGGAAGCGGCGGGGTGGGAGTCACCCGAACGTGATCGCCCGAGGCCCCTCCTGCCGCCGCGAGGGAGCGCCATAAAAGCCCTGTTGCGCCCCGCTCTCCGCACCGCGTCCGCCGGCGCTCACCCCTCGGACAGGCGCCCCGGGACCGCACAGCCCTCGCCGCCCGGCCACGCCCGCCACCGTGAGTGCCGGACCCGCTCCCCTGGGGGCGGGAGCAGCGGGGACACGGCGCCGGCTCCCCTCGGGGGAGCTCCGGGTCGCGCCCCGCTTCCCGCCCCTGCGCGCCGCGCCCCGTCCTCTCGGGCCCCGACGCGCGGCGGCAGCTCCCGGAGGCTGAACTCCGCTTGCGCCTTCTGGTCCTTTCCGACTGCACTTCACGCGCGGTCCCTCGGGGCTACCTTTTGGGGCATTTGGAGGGGGACACGACCCCCAGCCCCCGGGCAGCTCGCGCTTTCCCCGGGGGTGGCCGCCTGGAAGGAGGCTTCCCGGGCTGCGCCCCCCCACCCCCGCCCCGAGCGAAGCATCCCCGGGGTTTGGAAGCCCCCGGCCTCCTCCCGGATCCTTGGGATCCCGAGATGGACTGCCGGGAGAGCAGTTCTCGCCTTGCTCCCCCAAATTGTCACCCCAAAGGAACCTCAGCCAGGACGGTCTCTCTTGCAGCAAGACAGACCGCGAGAAGAAACTTTTCTCCTCCGACAGGAGTTTGGGAAAGAGGGTGGGAAAGCGCCAGGACCTCGACCCCACCGGGAGGAACTTCTCCGTCTGTCTTCAAAGTATCTGAACCGGCGCCCCCGGGCCCTGGCGCGGCGCCCCTGGTTGCGCGCGGCCCCTGCGGCCCCCGACTTGCACGGAATCCGCGCGGACCTCTCGGGGGGAGCGGGGCGGGCGTCGCCTCAGCGCGGGGCTCCCCGCTGCCTCTCGGGGACTGGGCTGAGCGCGGGCCGGGGGGCGCGAGTGGCAGCGGGGAGGGGGCGTCGAGGGACACCCGGGCCGGAGGGTCCAGGCGTGCGTCCTCCAGCCCCCGCTCTCCCCGCTGCGCCCCCTGTGCCCGCAGATGCTGGGGAGCAAGCGCCTGGGGCCCTCCGGACTGACCCTCGCCCTGTCGCTGCTCGTGTGCCTGGGCGCGCTGGCCGAGGCGTACCCCTCCAAGCCGGACAACCCCGGGGAGGACGCGCCGGCCGAGGACATGGCCAGATACTATTCAGCGCTGCGACACTACATCAACCTCATCACCAGGCAGAGGTGGGTGGGCTCCTGGGGACCGACGCCCGGAGCGCCCTGGCCCCAAACCGAGATCCTGGGGATGTCCAAGGACAGGGACCAGGGTTTGTTTTTTTTTTTTTGTTTTTGTTTTTGTTTTCTTGCTGGGACCCCTGGGCAGCACGGGATCAGGCACGTACTCACTTCTCCGTGAAGAATTGCCCTGAACGCTTTCCCTCTGCGACTATAGTTACAAAATCGTGACCCCCCAGATTTAGGTTCCCTAGGCTGTGTGGCTGGCGATCTTGTCCCCCTCACTCCCTGCTCTTTTTTGTTGTTGTTGTTCTTAGAGCAGTTGGGGGGACTGTTTGGAAATCTGGATGGGAAAGGACCCCCTAAAATAGGTCAGGAGTGCTCCAGAGAAGTGCTGTAGGGAGAAGGGTGAGCTGAGTGTCTAGGAGCTGCAATCACCACCACCAACCAGCAAACAGCTGGGTTGCCAAAGACATTGCCAGATTTTCCAAGCTGCCCAGAACAAATTGAATGACAATATTTAAGAAAAGACAAACAGAGCTCTTTTCTTCTGTGCAGTGTTTTGTTTTCTTTTGTTTGTTTGTTTTTTCAGTCTCAGCCCTTTACTTTAAAATCCTGGAGATAATTGAGACTTAGCATGAAAACAGTTGATCTAAAGTATAGACTTTCCCCATCTTCTGGCAGGTTGAGTTTTGAGAAGGAAGTGCCCACTTAGTGGTTTGTTAAGGAGAAACTGGTCACTCTGGGATAAACCCAGGGATTACATGGAATTTGAAAAATTGTAAACTTTATTCTGAGCCCTCAGAAAACTAAAATTGAATGCCATGTTTTCACTCTCACCATCAAATATTTATGCAAAAAAATCACATCCAAACTGTAATATAGAATTTAAAATTTGTTTCCAAGTGGTTCATCCTAGTTCTATCTTAGTTTTAAGTCATTTAATGTCTTAATTACTGGGATCAAGTTACCTTAATAGGCTAAGAAAGGAGAGCCCTTTAAAAACATTAATGTTAAAAATGTCTAAATTACGTTTTGTAAAGTGTTATTGTTTTTGCTTTTACCACACTTTTTTACTATTTGTAAGTCAGGGAATAGTTGGGAAGGATTCAAAATGGGGAGAATTTACATTTCTTAAATAAGTTTTTTTTTCCTGTTTCATCAGAAAGGGGTATGACATCCTAAAAAGCTTTTGAAAAAGTCTCTGTTTACAGAGAATCAGAAATACATAAAATGCTGAATTAAATAGTATTGATTTGTAAACCTGCAAGTCTGTTCATTTTAATGAGCAAAAAGGCAATAATGTTTTATATCCAAGTAGACTTCTCAGAAAGTTAATTGCTTCAAATTCTTGCTTATGCTGTCATATAGAGCAGATAAAAGAACTTGTTCAAATAAAAAAAATATTGTCATTTATGTAGGAAAAACCCCGTTGGTTTGTCGGTTATAACCCAGTAGATTGCTATAAAGCTTTATCATTGTATAAAGCATTAGCATTTCAAAATGTTTCCCTAGGCGTTCATTTTGTCTTTACCTCAAAGCCTTGAAGTGGGTATAATTATCTCCATTTTACAGGTCTTGAATCTAAGAACATTTTATGAAGGCTTTTCTTTTTAGGGGTGATGAAATTGGAGCACTCCCACTGATTTTCCTTGGACATGGTCACTCCCATCAGCATCCAGTGTGATCTCCAGTATCTTTGATGAGGAAAAAATAAAGGGAAAGGGGCTTGAGTTTCATGGGAAGAGATTCAGGATAGGTGGGAATGTGTTGATTCTGAACCAGAGTTTCCTGCCTCATTTTCACATAAATTCCTTCTTTGAATTCACCAGAGGCTTATCATTGGCACTCATTGTCTCCATTCTGTACTCTCATTGCCTTATCATCTCACACACCCAATCATATGCACATGGTTGTATTTAAAAAGTTATGGTGTCATTTGTGAACATATGTTTTCATTTGGCACAAATGGTGGTCTGATATCATTCTCTTTGCTCTCTTTTTCTACTCAGTCCATTTTTTTTAAAAAAAGATTTTATTTATTTATGAGAGACAGAGAGAGAGGCAGAGACATAGGCAGAGAGAGAAGCAGGCTCCATGCACCGGGAGCCCGATGTGGGATTCTATCTCAGGACTCTGGGATCATGCCCTAAGCTAAAGGCAGATGCTCAACTGCTGAGCCACCCAGGCATCCCTCAGTCCACGTTTTTAAGCTGTATGTTCCCAGTCTGTTGCTTCTGAAAGCTGCATCATTTCTTCTAGAGCGTGGATCTACCACGTGGCTTTTACAGTTTCCTAAATCAGTGGTTCTCGACTGGTACTCACCTTATGCTCTAAACATCCTGCAATGCCTAGGCCAGCCTCTATAACAAAGAATTTTCTAGCCTAAAGTGTCATATGTGGTGCCATGGTGGAGAAACTCAGCCCTAGGTTAATCTTTCTCCATCCTGGTCACACACTGGAATCACCTGGGGAGCTTTTAAAATATATTAGTGCTGGACTACAGCCCTGACCCATTCAATCAGAACCTTGGGGTAGGGTGGGGGGACCTGGGTTTTAAAAGCTTCCCAGCTGATACTAATGTGAAGCCAGGTTTGAGAATTTTTTCCCTGGAAACTTTATCTTTGACAGTTAAAGCCTAGTGGGGAAGAAGGATAATTCAGAAGTAAGTAGAGAAGAAGAATAGTGAACAATGCTGTCCTGGGTGCCACTATATGACCACAGATCCTGCTATTCTAAATTTCTCCAGTAAACTGGAGAAAATAGTAGCTAGCTCTGTTCACGGGATCATGGTGGAGATAATGAGTTAAGGCTCTTCAAGAGTTTTAAGGTGAATAAAATCAACTGATGGACACAATAAATAGGTATAAGCAGCAGTTTAGACTAAGGGTTGGATATCACAACTCCAGAAAATCTTGAGGAAATCTTACAAATGATGGGGGGCACAGTTTGTTTTTGCTTCCTTAAGGAGCAATAATAGGAAATCTTCCCCCCAAATTGAGATTTAATCATACTTGATAGGCAGTTGGAGGTGTACCTTCTGATAGCTTTGTTTTGCTGTATGTGGTAACTACACGTACAATCCAGGCTAGTTTTTCATTTGTGAACAGTGTGGCTTCTGGTATGCAAGCCTTTTCTGAGAAAGGGAAAAATATAACTTCGTAGAGACTTGTCAGACACTTCAGCGGAAAGAGACAGAGAGAGAGAGAAAGAAAGAAACCGAGAAAGACCAGTGTACTTATTTACCTGGAGCAAGTAGCATATACCACCCTTGCGTTCACCCTTGCATATAGTCCTATCCACATCCTGCTGCAGGAGAAAAAAGACCAGTAAGATTCCATGGTCTTTCCAGGGATCCATGAGATTCCCTTATATTCACAGGGCAGATTAAAATCACAGCATGAGAGAAGGCTGTTAGCTTTTGGGTACCCTAAATGAATATGGAAAACATAGGACCAAGGGTGGTTACTTTCTGTAAGAATGGGTGCATTTCACTAGTAATAACTTGCATTTGTGTTTTACTCTGTCGCTTTGAAAACATTGTGACTCACATTGGATTTCCACAAAGACTCCAATTTAAGCATGAGTTACGATTTTATTTTTACAAATGAGAAAACTGAGATTCGAAGACACAGGTGGGTCTGGAGCTGCTGTCTGCTGATTTTTTTCCCTAGGGCTATTTCCAAAATATCATCTGGTCTCTTTGTTGAGGCTTAAACTGCTGTATATCATCAGAACTATAGCCAATTAACTAATTATGGAAACATTTAAAATCATACTGTGATGCATTTTTATTTCCTGTCACTTAGTTATAAAAGTCTATGTATTGTTTGTGGTAGTATGAAAAGGCAAGGATTTGACTAGGAATTTTGATTGGTTCAAATAATCTGCTACATTGTTATTTAAGCAAAATTATATATAATTTGAAATCATATTTCTGATAAAGTCTGCTTCATACACCTATTACGTGTTAGCAGATGATCAACTACGTGGGACACTATCTTCCTTTTTTCTAAATATTTTTCTTTTTATGACTATTTCAAATTTGCTTTAAAGATTTTTTTTTTTTTTTTTTTTTAGGTATGGAAAACGATCTAGCCCTGAGACACTGATTTCAGACCTCTTGATGAGAGAAAGCACAGAAAACGTTCCCAGAACTAGGTATGAAAGGCTTGTGTGGGGACATTGTTGCAGAGTTCAGGATGGATGGCACAGGAGAGGGAAATTGCAGAGGGCTGCCTAGTGGCAGGGGGTAGAGGGGGTTGGGGGGTGGGGAGATTGGAATGGGTCTTCCAGACCAGGTAGCATTTGGGCAGAAATGGAGATGGAGCAGGGCAGTGAGGGCCTTAATTTTCTTTTTCTTTCTTTCTTTCTTTCTTTTTTTTTTTTTAAGATTTTATTTTTTTATTCGTGAGAGACACAGAGAAAGAGAGAGAGAGAGAGAGAGAGAGAGGGAGAGGCAGAGACATAGGCAGAGGGAGAAGCAGGCTCCATGCAGGAAGCCCAATATGGGACTCGATCCCGATCCCGGGACTCCAGGATCACGCCCTGAGCCAAAGGCAGACGCTTAACCGCTGAGCCACCCAGGTGTCCCTAGGGCCTTTCTTTTCATGTAATAATTTGTAAACCTCTGAATTTCTGTGGGGTATTATTTTTTACCCTAGATTATTTGGTGCTCCTTTGAAAATTTTAAATCAGAAAAGACTATATAGATTTTCTAACCAGATTAGAATTGAAAGAACACAGACTAAATCCTCATCTCTACATTGAAATGACCAACAGTCCATCATTAGCCAAGGGAATCTTTCGTTTTCATACAATATTTGGAGCGTCTAGATGTCCTGCAAGTGTCACTCATGGGTCTTACTCTAGTCTTCCTCATTTCATAGATGAAATCTTGGTGGTGGGGTGTGAAAGGGGCATCTGTTGTTTCCTTTTTGACATATTTGAAGCTAAGTATCACATAATGACTTATTGCATTCAAGGAATGAATGTTAAGGACATAATATTCCTAGGGACTTGTCTGTGACCTTGGGGGCTTTCTTGGAATGTGGACTTGTCTTGGGAAGAGGTGCCTACCAACAGCTGGCGTGAAACATTGGACAATGAGCAACGAGAGCTGCTGGAAAGCAGCCTGATTCTCCTCCATTTTCATAACTTCCTGGCCCTTCTTTCCTATGCCTCCTGCCTCTCCCCTGAGGAACATCACAGGGCACATGGTTCATCCATTTCTGTGGGAACTTGTCTGCCTTAAACCCAGAGCTTGACAATGTCAAGAACCAGGTTCCCCAGAAGAGGTCACTAGAACACTTGCTCAGGCAGTGTGACTGGCGTGTCACTCTTCATAGAGGTTCTCCTTGGAGAACAAGTGGGGTGACCTGCTGAGCCACTTACTTTCCCCTCCCACCATCCCTCTGTTGTCTTGTGAAATGGCCAGCCAGGGCAAAGGTACAGGTCTAGAGTTGTCAGGTTTGTTTTCTCTAAAGGAAACAACAATTTGGACTGGAATAAAACCCCAGTGCTCTTGTCTCTGGAAGTATCAACCAGATTTAAACAGCAAATGGAAGGGAAGCAGGTGGAAAATTCATAAGGATGATTTTTAATCCTAATTTTAATCCATAAAGATTATTATTTGATTATTCGAACAATAGATGCCTTGAAGCTTTCATTGATAGACATGTGAGGTTTACCATGGTAAAAAGTTTAGGGTAAACCTTATGTACTTCCGGTAAGAAAAAGAACCATCCAGACTTAACAACCTTGCTGCTACACTTTGTTTTGTGGCTTAAAGTCCCATGGTAGGTGCATGAAATAGTGTTAATTGCACCCTGATGGACAGTCTCAATCATGTACGGTTTGGAGGAGGCAAAAGTTGAGAGCCTTGAGGTTGCCTGTGAATACTATTTTATTAAAAAGGGTTCTTTATAAAAATCGCATCTAACTACATAAAAAGCCTTGCAGGAAAACAAAAGAAGCGTATTCAGAGTTGAGTAACATTAACTTCCTTGTTACCATTTTGTGTGATTCCCGCAGTTTTGATCTTCAGAAATATTGCAGAGTTCTTCAGCTCCTTTGATAAGTACAGAGCCTTTTAAATACTCCCTCTGAGATTTCCCTGAGACTCCCATGAACATGAGTGAAAGTTACGCAGCTGGGTCTTTGCATATTATGCCACTGTCTTTCGCTCTGATATTGCACATGACCTTCTGTTTAGAATGCCAACAAGAGACTTTTCAACCGTTTCTGATCATCTTTTGGTTCAGAACTGAATGTCTCACTTTTGAAAACCTCCCAAGAAGTTGGGACACTTCTCTTACATGCTCTGCTTCTTATGTTTGACAGGCTGGATGACCCTTCTATGTGGTGATGGGAAATGAAACTTGCTCTACGGTCTTTGCCTATTTTTCAACCCAAATTTCATCCTATAAAACCAGAATCTGCCTATCCTCCCAATGCATGCAGCCAATGTGCTCAACTGTGCAGTTTCCCTTTGACGTCCTTGTATATATGTGTGTTTAAATAAAGTACCAAGCATTCAAAAATGTTATGCTCCTCAATGAAAAATCTGTTGTTGCAATAGTGAGAATTATTTTAAGTTATTCATTATATCACACTCTCACTCAAGTAGCAGGTTTAAAGTTTGTTTCACCAATATTAAAGCAGTGACTATGGAAGACATAAAGATACGTTGATTTATGATGATCAAGACTCAGATGTGTGTGTGTGTGTGTGTGTGTATAACAATAAAAGCATTTGGAAATATCATGCAGGGGCATGCTAATTTGGAATAATTGGCTGAACTTTCCCCCACATGCATATGGGATTCTTGTTAACCTAGTTAGTCCATACTATTAGCAGGAAGGGTTGCTAATAGAACTTTCTGCAAGACGTCCTCTCTAATATAGTCACCACAAGCCATGTATGGCTTTTGAGCAAATGCATGTAGCAAGACCAAATGAGGAGCTGACTTTTAAATTTTATCAGGCTTTTAAAAAAATAAATAAATAAAAAATTTATCAGGTTTTAATTTCAATAGCCACATGTTTCCAGCAGCTATGATATCAGCTCAGATCTATATGTTTATTTAGGCCATTACACTCAGAATTTGAGTCTTAGAAATACACTGAGTAGGAATGATTACCTTTTCACACAACATGGGGTATAATGTTAATTAATTCAGCTAAAGGTTATTAAACTTTCCCTTTCCTTCATGTATCTATGCATGGGCTTAGTTTAACTTTTATGTTATTAGATTCTTACATATAATTTCTAAGGCAAAGAAAATGATCACATCCTATATTTGTACTTTGAACTGCACTGTAAAAAATATTTTTATGTGCTGCTTTAAAATTGCTTACAAAACCCCCATATAACAGGTCTTAGGGAATATTACAGTATATAAAATATTCTCTCTATATAATAAAATCTATTTCTTCAGCCACTGAAGTCAGTGATACTACAAAACATAATTCCCTTCAAAGAATCTGCTCTGTGATTTTCCTAAATTTGGCCTGATTTTTGTTACTTTGGGCTTTGAACTAAATATCCTTATCTGCAGTTTCACTTTCCGCAGTTTCGATTACCTGCGGACAACAGCTGTCTGGGAGATGCTCCTCCTTCTGACGAATCGTCAGAAGGTCACTAGTAGCCTAACTTTACTTCACCGTGCCTATATCATTCTCCTCACTTCATCTCACCTTGTAGGCATTTTATCATCTCACATCTCACAAGAAGAATAAGGGTGAGTACAGAGTAGTACAATATTTTGAGAGAGAGGCCACATTCACATAACTTTTATTACAGTATATTGTTATAGTTGTTCTATTTCATTATTAGTCATTGTTATTAATCTCTTACTGTGCCTAATTTATATATTAAACTTTATCATAGGTATTATATGCATGGAAGAAAATAGTCTATCCTGGGTTTAGTACTCTTCATGGTTTCAGGCATCCACTGGGGGTCCTGGAACATATCTTGCCCTCCCCTCCACTGGGAAAGGGCTGGGGGTGGGGTGGGGATCGGGAACTACTACATCAAAATGTAAAGCTTTTTTTTTTTTTTTTTAATCTTAAAATGTTGGGATGCCTGGGTGGCTCAGTGGTTGAGCACCTGCATTTGATTCAGGGCATGATCCCGGGGTCTGGGATCAAGTCCCACGTCGGGCTCCCTGCATGGAGTCTGCTTCTCCCTCTGTCTGTGTCTCTGCCTCTTTCTCTCTCTGTCTCTCATGAATAAATAAATAAAAGTTTTTTAAAAAATCTTAAAATGTTGGTAAGTCACAATTTCTAAACACACAATGTGAAAAGTTATTTACTAACCTAGTATATTTGGAGGTTTTCTTTACTGAAGTTAATACTATGCAAAACAAGTTGACTGAAAAATTCAATTGGCAGCACAGATAATCTGAATATTCATCACTAATCACAGAACTCCCCGTAACAGGGACCAGAGCAAATAGATATGATGTATATAAACCCTTGAAAAATAACCTGGGAATTTCATTTTGAAATGAAAGTTTAAACCTCTTATCCCACCAAATCTAAATGCCCCAAAGGGTAAATATTAAACAGTATTTGTTTTACCTATAAATCAGGCCTTGAGATCTCACCTCTTTGCCTTATCTTACTATAAAGAGAATTGAACCTTCACACCATGTGAGCCCTGTGGTCCTGACTCAGTGGCTTCCAGGTCCTCTGACTTTCAAGTTTACTAAACTTCTGAGTTCTCACTCATGAAATGGGGATCATAAGTCCTGGCCGACTTTCTGTGTAAGCTTATACTGAGATAAAAATTCAACTTAAGATATTGTTACAAGTAAGTAATAGTAGGGAAATAGATAAGGATGGAGTTGTTGAGAATTCTTGTGTTGGATTATAACTCCCTTGCCGGAGACTAAATGTTTGTATCCTTTCAGATTTATATGTTGAAATCTTAATCCCCAAGGTGATGGCATTTGGAGGTGGGGTCTTTAGGAGATTGATTAGGTCATGAGAGTGAAGCTCACATGAATAGGATTAGGGTCCTTTAAAAGAGGACCCCAGAGAGCTCCCTTATCCCTTCCATCATAAGAAGACACAGTGAGAAAAAAAAAAAAAGAAGACACAGTGAGGAGATGGTTGTCTATGAATCAGGAAGCAGGCCCTCCCCTGACAACAGATCTGCTGGTGCCTTGATCTTGGACTTTACGGCTTCCAGAATTGTGAGCAATAAATTTTTGTTGTTTTTAAGCCACTCATCTATAGTAACTTGCGATAGCAGCCCAAACAGATTAAGATATCCCTAATAAACAAGAATTCATTTTAAGAATTATAAATTTGCAAACATTTATAAATTGCAAAACTACATTCCAAGAGATTCCCTAGTAATATTTTTCAAACATTTTCAGTCTGCTGACCCTCCTTGGAATAGGAGTAAAGGTACTGGATCATTCATCTATCATTGCAAATAATAATAATCCTTAGAGTTAGAGTAAGAACAACCAAACCTTCATTAAAATGAGATGCCTGTAGGTGACTTCATCATCATCAAATAAATCTCCAAGCATTTATTAGGGTCTCTGCTGATCCAAACCCTATTCTACATTTAAAGAGGTATTGATTGTGTATAAGGTTTTTGCAGATGCCATTGTATTTTTATTTTGTTCCTTATAATACTCATGACACACACAGATGATTATTCCCTCATTTTCATAGAAAAGGAAACTGAGGCCTAAAGAAAGTAAATGACTTCCCCCATCTCATTCAAGGTAGGGAGACTAGAGAGCAGTTCTCTGTTCTCAAACTTTGCCCTACGTGATGATGTTTCATGGAAGAGGTCCACCAACACTCAGGTCTTACCTAGCCTAGTTAAGAACATAACTCTAGCATGCTTAAAACAGAGTATAACAAAGTACTAAATTGTGCAAAAGGCATTTAGAAAAGAAAATGAATGTGGGCAGAATTAGCTGGAAAAGGCTTAATAGAGAATGTGGATGTTGAGCCAGGTTGAACATAGAGGTGGGTCACCCAGAGCTTATGTAGGGAATGGTCAGGGGACTACCTGATAGAAACAGGGGCAGAGTGGCCAGGAGTGGGTCAATGAAGTAGGTCCAAGGATGGCCAAGCTCATTTATCCATTCATTCATCCATTCAACAGTTTGTCAGCACCTACTATGTATCGAACATTGTACTAAGCATTGGGGATATAAAGATCAGTAATAGTTTTTCAGGGAACTTACCATCTAATGAGGGAGACAGATATTTACAGTGTATTGTTGGAAGTGCAAAGATAGGAGTGTTAGAGATTTGGGATATAGTTAGGTGCTAGAACCTACCCACTTATACTTCCCTTTGCATTTTCCTGACAAAAGAACTGTAGATATAAGAATCAATTGCCAACGTGGAACAAAGTGCCAGATGGGCAAGTACCCAATGAGGCTAAATGTAGGGCTGCCCTAAGCTGAATCAGAGGGCCTGGCTAAGGCCTGAGCTTCTAAAGTACCCTTGTAGCCCATAGCAAATCTCAGCATCCTGGTGGAGCGTGACAGGAATAGAGAGGAATGTGGGGCAGACCCTTAGATCCACTTAGCCAAACCGATGGGTAGGCAAGAAGAGCCAGCCTGCCACATCTAGCAGTAGATGGAAGAAGGGGCATTGGTAAATGCAAGTCACTTCAGACACAGTGTCCCTGCCCATAGTGCACTGTGGTATCATCAATCAAGCAGATTCTACCAAGCAAAGGGGGATAGGAATGAAAATAGAGGAAAGGGTCCTACATAGCTGTTATTCCCCATTTCAGGGGCAGAGATATCTCCTCCTTCTCTAATAAGAAGCGGGCAGAAGGTGTTTCAGGAGTCATGAAGGGGCTCCTGCCCAAGGTTGGGGAGAGTGGAGGAAGCAGGCTGAATGTCTTGGACATACTAATGCCTGAGCTGAGGTTCACAGCAGGAGTACCAATTGCCAGATGAAGAATAGCAAGATAAAGGTAGAAGATAAACAGGTGGGAGAGAGAATATATACTTTGAGTGCTTTTTAATTATTCCTGATGCCCATACTTTGAATTTGACCATATGCAAGGCCTCGACCAGTAGGTTACTATTCTAAAGGGAAGATCCCATTTGCTGTGAAAGCAAGTCCCATCTCTATCTCTCTTCTCCCCACCATTGCTCCATTCCTCCCCACCCCCAATCCCAACTGCTTTTCCATAGACTGGCTCCAGGGGCCAACTGGTACCTCTAATAATACCCTTCATTCAGCCAAATCAGGACTGGACTTCTCAGCCTGAGATGTCTAAATATGATCTTATCAATGAATTTACAAGTTCAGAAAATAAATATTGTAAGGTTGTTTCTACTGCCTAATTCAGGAAGAAAACGACTTACTATTTCTTATGCAATAATTTGATTTTCTTAGTATCTACTAGCCTCTTTTCCCTCTCTAGATAAGGGTCAGGGTAGAGAAGCAGATATAAAGACAAGGAAAAATCAGTACTGGTTTGGGACTTGCACACTATGGTATAGTGCTTCCTGCTAAGTAAAAATGCCTGACGCACTCCTGAGATAGGCCCACATACAGACTTGATGGCCTGGCTGATGACAGGAAAGCAAATATGATGGCAGTTTATTCATTGTCCCCTCTTTCTTTCCAATACACATACATTATGCTTATATGGTTATTACTA